CTATATGCATTAAACAAATAAATGTGAACCATATTTAATAAAATCTAACTTATTTAGTCATACTGAATATTAATCTACCCATGGTAGGTCAGTAATGATAAACTAAATAACACAGAAATGCAGAGAGAGTTATTGTTTCTAAACAAAACCAAAGTCACATTTTTTTAAAATATATAGTATTTCTATTTCTGACTTATTTATTTAGATCTAACTTAATTAATATTTCTATTTCTAATTAATGAATTTCAGTCATTTCTCCCTGTGAACCTACTGAAAATTTCTTAAATTTTGGTTATTTTAGCTGATCTATCAGGTATCTCTGTGGCCTTTGGTTTCAAATTCAGTCAGCACATATTCTTTTTTCCCAAGTCACAGAATCATAGAATTTTCTCTCTAAAAGAGACACAAATAGCAGGTAACTCAACCTCTTGTTTGAAAGATAAAGAAACAGGCCCAGACAGAATAAACAACTCTCATGGTAACACAGCTCATGGACAGATTTTGACCTAAAAGTGCAGACAGCTGAGCACATCTAGAAACCATTTGAGACACGCTCACTAAGAGGCCTGTGGATGCTGGAATATTGAACTTGAGGTGCATCTGTTCGCTACAACTGTGCTCATTCCCCTCTGTACCCACCGCCACTGGCATTCTGGGTAAATCTGACAGTTTAATACTCAGACAAGAGGAAGCCGTCTTGAAGTAAACTGGTTACTTGTAATAAACTACATCCCCCTCCAAGTAATTAGTAAAATACTTGAGCAGCCAGTCTGTTTTCCAGTTCATGATTCCTGTAATCCTTTTGAAAAGTCAGCACATTTTCCTACTTCTGTTTCCCTGATAGTTAATAAAAATGGGTACTATATTCAGGTACAAATGTACCCACATTTCAAAATGAACCTACATAACAACTGAAATGACAGACTGTTTTGAAAATGTGTGTGTTGGGGTAGTGGGGAGCCAAGGCATTGCTGTAGTCAGATGCAAATGTATACCTTTAAAGGCTTTTCTTGCAAAAGGGAGTGAATGAATGAATGAGCCATTGAACTCTGGGGAACACAAAAAAAAATAAGAAAAGTATAAATTAGAATATAGAGAACAATAATTTCAAATGAATTGAAAACTGATTCTTTAACAAATATATAAATAAGCATCTAAGAAAATGTATTACAAAAAAGAGGGATATAAACAAAGATTAAACATTTCAAATTAGACCTTAAAAAATTGATCCACAGGTAATGAGGAAATAAACCAGGGTGGTTTAGATTATGGAGAACTTTTAAAGAGGTGATAATGTGTTTTCTGTTTGTTTGTTTGTTTGTTTTAATAAAGCTCTAGAAAGACTTTAGAAGTTCAAAGAAAACAGCTCAAGACTAGCAATTAAGAAGACATTGGAGCCTTCAAAGCTCTTCCTGTGAATGTGGGTTAGAAAACCAGACTGCGAAAGAGCAGGCTGGACAGAAGGGTCCACCAGAATCCACCCATTTTCAGACTCACTGAACAAAGGAGTCAGGGAAGCCGATTGGATTCTGGTGCAGTGTTTTGAAGGATTCTTGGACCTTCATAAAATGCCCTGTCCTTACTGACTTAACCTGCGAAGTGAGGTTGTACTATAAATAAGTTCTTTACACAATTTCAAAAATAATCCCTCTGCTTTAGTGCTTTTTTTTTATTAACACTGTGTAGTAGGCAATAGTCACAAAAGACTTTGATTACACAGAATGACTCATTAATTTGATATTTAATGTCTTATTAGCTCCAATGTCTTAATGCCTTATTATTTCAACACTACAGTCCATCTTTTTGCAATCTAATCCAGTCCTCTCTGTCCATCAGATCTCTGACAACTGCATTAATTTTCATTTATTTAGTACACATGCCTTGAGAGCATACCTCCCATGCAGTACTATTTGTTGCTAACTGTTGAGTGTTCTTCTGAAGAAGGTTGTGGACTCATACTTAAGATCAAAATTAGCGAGGGTGTCATCAGAATTGCTGGACCTGGAAAACAAACCAACTGTGCTTATCATGCTTTCCCTACAAGCAGATAGTTTACCCTCGTTCTTATCTGAAAATACACAGAATCATCTTCAGTAGCTGCTTTGAAGAGAAAATATTACTCTGGAAGCTGTTGGTATTGGAGGAGGAGGAAATTGGTTAAAAACAAAAAATACTCAAAAAAGGATAACAGTGTTCAGCCCCTTTTAAGAGCTATTCAGATGAAAAATTGCTCGGCATGAGCTTGATCTATATGTTTTTGTGTGTGTGTGTGGTTATTAGTAGTAATGAAGATGCATTAACCATATTCTCTTGATAATGCTCTAGCAGTTTCTTAGTACTTTTATCAACACATAAATTTTACAACTGGCAATTTGGGAATTTGACTGGTACATTTTTGTTTATAAAAAAAGGTAACAGCATTATAACTTCTTCATATCTGTGAATTATGAATCTTGACTTGCAAGCAGGCAAAACTAAAATGCAATAGAACTTCAGTATCATGATAGCTCTTCTGTCTACTACCACTCACAAGAAACTAGAGAGCGTGCAGGCTGCCGAGTAGAATACAGAGCCAGAGGTGAATGCCTTCTTAATCCAGAATTTATGAGTTCTTTTCATTTTATTCTTTCTTATTGTCAGTAAACATGTCTTGAGTGCCTTCTCTGTTGCTAACCTCAGTGTCTATAAATTGAGAATGCTCGACTTCATTAGAAGCAGCTGAAAAATGGAAGTGAAGTGGGCGTAATCACTGTCTTTATCTCCCTTAGAAAAGGTTGTTTTCAACAGTTTTGGGAAGGACATTAAATAGCTCTGTTCTGTAAAAGTATAAAGTGGTACCAAAAAAAACCCTTTAACGTGACTTTTTTTTTTTAACATTTCATTGAGTTCTAAATGAGTAGATCTTCCTTTTGTAAAACTGAGTTCAGCTTTTGAATTTAATTTGTCCTATCTCCAAAACAAGGCAAGTCTCTAATACCAAGTTGTAAAGTTAGTTTGCGTTATTACAGAAAACTTTATGGAAGAAAGCAACAGTGGTCTTTCCTTTTTATTGGAGAACTGTGGGTCAGTTCTGTATGAGAACGAAAGCCAAGGATCCAGCTGTCCTATAAAAGCAGGAGAATTGCTATGTAACTGCTACCGGATAGGTCAGAAAGAAGAAAATGATAGTAAAATTAAAGTTAACTAAGTCAAATAAGTGGATCTCTGATTCTTCACTTTCAGTTTCTTACTTTTAGGAAAGGTAAGTAAAATGTGTAAAATTCAGCATCTATTTATGATCTGGACAACAAAAATACAACTTTGGTGTTTTCATGGACTTAAATTACTTCCTGCAACTAATATAATTTATAATCTCATCTGGCCTTCCTGATAGTAACCTGAGGTACTGAAAGAATATGGATATAATAGTGTATTCTTGGTGTCCTCCAGTTGCTAATTGTGACACAGGTCATGGTAAACCATGGAAGCATGTAAGATCTCAGGGGATGATGTCCAGGGAATGGATTGCTGCCTGACTATGCAATCTGGAAGTCTTGGTGACCTTGAGCAGTTTCTGAGAAATGACAAGAAGGCTTAATGGGTTAAAGACTGAAGAGGTGCTTTAAGTCACCCCTTGGGCGGGGGGGAATATTGGGAAGAAGGGGTGAAGAAGTGGAGTGGTAACTAGAAAGGAATGAGGAGTCAAAAGAGAAGTTAACACACACACACAGAGACACACACACACACCCCATGCTAACAGGAGGGATATAGCGGAGAAGGAGAAAATGATAATGTAGGTGAGGAAAATGCAGAAATAGTACTCTCAAAAAGTCAGAGGAGAAGGACAGAGAGCACAAAAGGGAAAGTTGGCCATCTTTAGGAACAAGGACACTTCTTTGACTGTAAAAGGTGAAGAGACTTTGAAGACCATAGGTAGATGCGACCGTCATTCAGCACATAATTACCACATCCCTGCAAGTGATCATCACACTGTTACCATGCTGTCATGAACCTTTTTCATAGGGATGAGGGAAGGTGGGCAAATAATAACCAATTAAGAGATAGGTAGATAGATAGGTAGGTAGGTAGGTAGATCGATCATGTCAGACGATTAAAAATGCTATCAAGCAAAGCCAGGCAGTAGGGAAGGACATGAGTACTGGAATCAGAGGTTGAAGGTGGATTATAATGCTCATGAACTTGAGACAGCTTCTGTGAATTTTCTCAGACATATTTCTTTCTCAAAATCATGTTGAATATCCTGGTACCCACATGTGAGGGTTTTATGTGAAAGGGACTCTCAGCCTGTCGCACAGATGCCCTGTGGTAACCCTTTGCAGCTTTCCCAGCCTTGAGCTGTGCCTTCTGAGCCCTCTCATGTTTTAAGCATACACTCATTTCTGTAATGATATGATTAATAGATTTCTTCCCTACTAGACTAGAGATTAGACACTCAGGGAGGGAAGCTCTGTCTGTTTTGGACAATCATATCCTGGAGCGTACCCCAATACTGTTGGCATGTACTAGGTCCTACCTGTTAAATGAAGGAATAAAAAGTGAAAAGAGGGCCCTCCCTGGTGGCGCAGCAGGTTAAAGCACAGCACTAAGAAGCCTAAGCCACTTCTGCATGAGTTCGATTCCCGCCTACCCCGGAGGTGACCACATGGCGTGGCAGACCTCTCCTGACCCGCCCGCTGCTCCCCTCAGCAGTGTACTTTGTCGATCTGCCTGTTCTGCTCCCCGCTCTGTCTCTGGTGAATCCTCTCACCCTCCGCATCTCTGGCCTGTACCCCAGTTCTATATGAAAAAATAAATCTTTAAAAAAAAAAGTGAAAAGACTATTTCCCGTAAGTCACATCTTTAGGAATCTTGTTATTTCCTTATTCTGCTGCCATTTCGAAGTGCTGATCTTGGCGCTGGCCTTTTTCAGAGCAGATAAGGTATGTTTTTACACCACTGGAATACGTGACATCGAGTTGTCCTCTCAATTTAAATCATCTCCTTCTCATTTTTTCTAACAGGACTAATACCAAAGGAGCTCCCCTGAATATTAATAAGGTCTCTAATAGCCTGATTAATTTTGGAAGAAAGTTGATTTCTCCAGCCATGTCCCCGGGTAGTGCGGGCGGCCCTATGCCTGGGGGCAGCAATGGCAGCTCTTCCACGGCTGCGGGTCCCCCCAAGACCTCGGCGGAGACCCCCAGGCATCCCTTGCAACAGCAGCAGCAACAGCAGCAGAGGCTGATGAAATCCGAAAGCATGCCGGTGCAGCTGAACAAAGGTAAGGGGAAATGCCCTCCAGCTGAGGAAAACCTGCGTGTGGGAGACTCCGAGACTCCCTTCCCTACCCCTGAGGAGCCCACAGGGCATGGATGCAAAACTGAATGTGGAAAGCTCTGTTGTGTTAAATCCTGTTTATGTTGGTATATCAGACACGGTATTGTTTATAATTGTAACATTCTTGAGGTTCTTTGTTAGGGCGTTATTTTAAACTGCTTGCATTTGCATCTGTGGGTGCCCCTACGGTTTGGCACTCACTGTCACCACACAGAACTTGACGTCATTGACGGTAATGTCTGCTAGGTCGGTGAAATAGTCCTTCCCACGGAGCAGAATCCACAGTGGGAAGTGCGATGGGCCCCAGTCTTCAGCCGAGCAGAATCTCCAGCAGCCAAAAGGTCAGGGTCCACACACCATCAGCCAGAGCCACGGAGCGTCACAGCAGAGGAAATTGGGGGTTCCTTCAGCAGCTCTGTCCCTTGGTGCATGAGGGCACGCTGTTGGCCCCGGGCAGCTCTCTCCACTGCATAAGATGTGCGCACGGCTATTCCAGACCCCTCTGGGGGGAACTACCCCCCTCCTGGACGTCTTCACATGGGCGTCCTTCAAGTTCTTACTCGGAACCTTCCAGATAAGATGTTGGGTCTCCCCATTCATATAGCAGAGTAGAAACATGTCACCTCTTTCTAGTGGACACTGCTATCTATAAAGAAGCAGGAGATAGTAACATGATAAGAAAAATCTAGAAAAACTCATTCTAAGACCTCACAGGGCAGAGAGCCCGGGCCCCTGTAGAGGCAGGGCAGGTGTCCGGAACGCTCCCTCACTCCTGACTTCATGGGACCGTGGCCATACCGCCACGGTCAGTACCTGGTGTCCACAGTAACAGAAGTCAGTAAGGAGCCAGTAAGGAGACCTTAAAACTATTGTTTCTTAGGCCCTTTTCAGGAAGATTGCATCCAGACTTATTAAAACTTTTATATCATTCCATTTAAATTGGTAAAGTTAAGTTAAATGGACTTTATTCCCCAGTGACACAAAAAATGAGTATTATTCAATAATTAGTATGTTTTCTGCGTGTGTTCTTCTGTTAGTTACAGCATGTTACTATCTCTGCTGCATGAAGTATTAGATTTTATATAATTAGTATTTAAATTTCTATTGGAATATTCACTTTACCTTACATAAGATCTCATTTACAATTACTTTTTTGTTTGTTTTAATGTAGCTATCACAGATGATTTAAAGAAAAGGAGATTTCAAATCATTAGCATGTTGTAAATGTATTTTAATGCCGGGAGACATGCCCACTTCCAGAATGGAAATGAATGTTATTTTATATATTTCTTAATTGTACTGTTTTATTGTTCTAAACAAATATGATTTCAATATTGCTTTGATAACAAGCTGTAGTCAGTAGTAATTCTAACTGATGGCAGGCAAATGAGTCAGAGAATCTCTTAATGCTGTAGCTTAAATTTTCTGAGGAACCAAGCCAAATGACTATAGAAATATAAAGTTGTGTCTCTAAGGAAATGTCAAGTATTAATATCACAGTGAGTGAGAAAGGAAGTGCATGGAGATGGGACAATTGATGAAAACGAAGTCCCCAGTTAGATGGAGACAACAGAGCACTTAAGCTAAGCACTTGGAACAGGAATATCACTAGGGCATTTGTAACTGATCCCTGTGCTAGGGAAAGTAGCCTTGTTTGGCAACTTTTTTTGTTTCTGGTTCATTCTTCTCATGTCAGTCTACAGAAAGACATGTCTTCCTCCATATTAAACAGAAATAGACCTGTCAAAGCCCCTCCCTGCACGCAAGTCGAAATGAAATAGAGCAAAAGGCAGAGAATAGTCAATTCAAGTAGAAGCTGGCAGAATCGGACGTTGCCCCTTCATTCACTGCCAGTGAAGGCTGAGCAGGGGCCCCCTGAGCCCCCCACCTCTCTGGCCCTTTGCTTCCTTGCCCTCAAGTAAGAGTTTTGGATTGATCCTTAAGGAGCCTCCCAGCTCTAAAAATCTATGGTTCCTGGATGAAAGCTACATTTGTTAACTCGGATGAGTTATTCTCCCAACACTGGTTCTTTCGGTGGTGTTTTCCTCCAGTCTCGCGCTGTGCAGCACTGAGAGAGCTGCCAGTGGGTCACCAGGGCCCACGAGCGTGAGGTTTAGCCTGCCAAGAGGCTTGGTTGAAATACGACTTCTCACTGTCTCAGAACAGAGTCATCTGCTTAGCGCCTTTGAGGAAAGATAATGCAATAGCCTTTTTAGTGTACTCTGCTGGAAAATTGAAAAGTTATTGTGAAAAATGGTTGTTTTTCATAAGATGAAAATGCTATGGGTTTCTTAAGTTACTTAACTCCCCATTATTTGTGTGCATATATGGGAACAGTTGTTTGGAAAACCCGTAATTCCTGTGTGTGTGGCCGGAAATGCATTCTGTAGTTTTGGGTGTGTTGGGGTGGGGTTATGAAGGAAAGAAGTGGGCACAGATGTCCCTCTATAATTTTCCTGGTGATATTGAAACATTATAATTAGGTTTTAGTCTCTATACACTAATAGGTGATCAGAAGCAACAGAATACATATGAAGCATAAAATTTTCAGTCAAGTCAAAGAAAACAGGCATACCACTTAATCAGTGAATTGAGAGTTAACTATATTATGAAAATTCAGGACTTGGTAATTTCCACAATAAGCGTTTATCACTTGTTTGGAGTATGTACCGATTAACAGGTCTACTTCACTTATAGGAAATCAGAAATGTATGTATCATCAGTTGACGGGAATGCTAATAACAACTTAATAATTTCCAGATGAGCCGGCCAGACTGTTGACCACACTCGTAGCAGGTGGTTGAGGCACTGAGAGTGTTATTTAATTCAAACATTGAGTTCTTTTACTAATGTATAAATGCTGCGCGAGAAGCAGGTATCAATCATACATTACGATATGTCAGAAAATGCGGCCTTTTCCGAAGTCTTGTTTTTTGGTTTGTTCATCCAGAACAGCCTAAGCCTTCAGATGGTGATCTAGCCAGAGAATTATTCTGTTGACAGTAACTGTGCTCGGTGTTAAACTTTGTTATCCAGGAAGGAAACCAAAGAACGAAAAACAAAACAGAAGTCTCTTCTAGATGCTTAGTGTACCTTGGGTTCCCCACACAGTTCCTGCTGTGCCCCCTTCTTAAAAATACACTCTTCCCTGCCCCCCATTTGCTTTGAACTCTTAATTTATTTTAAGCATTTACTTCAAGTCCAATTTGTAAATGAAATCTTGCCTGCAGTAAGTGTATCAAGTTTAAAGGGTATGCAGTTCACAGATTTATTTTTACATGTTGACATTTGTAAGTACATGTGGTAACTTATGAAATCTTTGCACTACTTAATATGAAATTAGACTTACTTGTATTTATCACTGAGGAAATTGGTTTCAAGTTCAGTTAAAAATAAATTTTGTTTGACAGAGGAGGAAATCAACTTCGAAAGAATGCTGACTTTCTTAAGTTAAATGACATTTAACTTACTTTTGGATAAAGATTTTTTTCAAAAAAATATAAAATCACATTAATATCTGTAGCATATGAAATCTGCTCTGAAAAATCTTTTGATTGCAAAGGTTTCCTGTTCTTTAGAAACTTGTTCGTTTTTATTTAAGAAAAGTACATGCAAAAACTTTTTAGGAAGCACATTTTAAAAATTCTTTCCTTTTAACAGATTTTATATTTTTCTGATATTACTCTGATTTTCTTTTCTTTTTGCCTGTGTATTTTTAGTAATTAACTTGATAAAATGTTATAATATTAAGTATGAAAAAGTAAAGTTGATTTTTTTTTCTTTTTATGAAATCTAACTACTTTCTTTTATGAAATGCAGGCGATGTAGTTACAGGAAGCGATGCTCAGGTTTCTGTTCCTGTCCAGACTCTAACTGACCTCCAAGGTACAGTTACATGGCAATGTAGTGTATCTCTCTGCTGCGGTATTACCATCGCCAAAGCTCCATTTTTCCTTCGCTCACCCGCCTTCATACTGTTTATTGGTTCACTACCATCATTCAACCACTGGGTGGCAGTGTTGTGCAGAACAAAAGTCCCCTTTCATGTACCTTGATGCCAGAGAGCTCACTGCAGTGAGTTTTCTATTAATTTTGCACCGGCCTCTTTCCTTGTCAAACATCTACATTCTGTGGTTATCGTAGCAGCGCGCGCCAAGGTGTTCTTTTTGTCGTACAGGTGCTCCGTGACAAATTAGTCTTGAAATCAGATGACTGTATGCTGTTTGTGTGCACATTATTGTGTGAATTAACCAGGGTACTGAAATTTTACCTAAAAGAGTTACAACTTGATTTTGAAATAAGGTTTTTTTCTTTTAATATTATAAACAACATACTTATAACATTATGTAGGATTCTCAGTACACAACATTTTAAATCAGTATCTGAATATACTACATTGTTGAAATAAGTTTTGAAATACAGGCTTTACAATGTGAATTACATTAAAATAATGAAGGTCCGGTGTCTGTATAGTGTAATTGGAAGTGACTTAAAATTAAAAGATACCCTTTTGATATCATAATCATTTGTTCAAATCTAGAAAGAAATTTAAGAAGTACAAGAGTTGTAAGTCATATTTTGTGGCTTTTAAAAATAAAAATATGTAATGCTGCCACATTATTCTTTTATGATGTAGCCTTAGGATACAAATGCTATAGAAAATATTTCTATATTAAGGGCAAGTCTTAACTAACTTTAAAAAGCATCATATTCAGACTAAAAAGATTAACAGCACTAGTTAAAACTCATATCACATTGTCCTTAAAATATCCACATCATATAGTTACACTACTAGCATTGACTTACTGTTGTGATGATAGGCTTTATAATATTCATGATTTTTTATTAATTTTTAGAACAAAATGTGGTTAGGAGGTAAGTGAGGCTGGTTTACCTTTAAACTCGATAAAGGAATATGCTTTCTGCTATACCTAGTTCACAGAG